AGCTTACCTATTCTTAAAGGATATGTTTACTTTTTTAACCACTTCCTGACCGGCCGTTGCATATAAACGGCCGGACGGTGGCAGTGCAGGGTCGGGTGGCCGTTTATAAATGGCCTCCCCGCACCCTGCTTGTGCGCGCTCCCTCGGAGCGCGCAGCACCGCGATCCGGTGCCCGCTGTGTCCTTCGGACACAGTGAAACACCGATCGTCGGACGGGACCTCTGTACGAGGTCCCGATCATGTGATCACTGATTGGCCAATCAGTGATCACATGCAAAGTAGTAAGCAAGATGTCACTTGTAACATCATTGCTTACTACGTGTGAAATCTGTGAATGATCACAGAGGTCACATGGTACAAGGCTATTCAACAACAGCCTTGTACCATGTGACAAGCTGTGACCAATCACAGCTCACTCAGTACTTCTCAATGAGTGCAAGAATGCACACAGAGAGAAAGAGAAATGATTGCTTTTACATCCTATATGGGCGTAAAAGCAATCAGTGTAAAAAAAAAAATAAAAATCTTCATCACCCCCCACAAGTAGTACAGTGTCACCATGGTGACACTGTACTGCTAGGGTGACAGTATGTAAAAAAAATAAATAAATAAAAAATAATAATATAAAAAAAATAAAATAAAAATGTAAAAAAAAATGTTTAAAAATTATAATTTTTGGTTATAAACTTTGGATTTTTTTTTTTTTACTAAAAAGATAACGGAATAAATTTTGGCAAAGATTTATGATGAAATATTATTTATTTGCAAAATGTTATAAAAAAAAACACTTTTTTTCAAAATTTTTGGACTTTTTCATTTACATAGCAAAAAAAATAAAAATCCCAGTGGTAAATAAATACCACCAAAAATAAAGCTTTATCTGTCTCAAAAAAATGGTAAAAAATTCATTTGGGTACAGTGTTGCATGACCGCGCAATTGTCATTCAAAGTGTGATAGCGCTGAAAGCTGAAAATTGCCCTGGTCAGGAAGGGGGTAAAAGTGTCCGGTCTGGAAGTGGTTAATACAAATAATAAATATCCAAGCAGATATAGTCTGACAGGAAGATTCAATGAACTACCACAGTGCTCAACAGTGCCGTGATAGTTCATTGAGAACTACAAGCCAACGGCCACAGAGGCTGTTGGGACTTGTAGTTCATTCATTCACAGAACTCTGTGAATGAATAATGTGACCATGTGGGCGCACTGTTTTAAAAAAGTGACAGCTAGTACGGGGACCTTCTTCCTGTACTGCTGTCACGGGGGGGGGAGGGACAGCAGCAGCAGTGGGTGGGAACATATAACATGTTCCCAAAGGTGAACTTATCCTTTAAATGTGGTGGCTACATTTGTTTACTGTTTTGCAGTCTTTTTTCCTTTATTTGCACCTGATGATTTAAAACTGAGCTTGTAATATTTCTCCCCGGTCCTCTCCCTGTGACTTTACCATTGAGGTCAATGGCACAACCATTGGTTCCTCCACAGGGCGCTGGGTATAATTCTAGACTCTGACCTCTATAATTCTAGACCTCTGCTCTCCAATCACTGGGTAAATCTTGCTGCCTCAACCTCCGCAAAATTTCCAGAATTTGCCCCTTCCTGACTAATAACACCACAAAACAGCTTATTCACTCCTTGGTTATTTCCTGTCTTGACCACGACAACTTCCTCCTCACTGGTCTACCCTTACACAGGCTATCGCCCCTTCAGTCTATTATGAATGCTGCTGCTAGACTAATACACCTTACTAACCGGTCTGTGACTGCTGTCCCTCTCTGCCAATCCCTTCACTGGCTTCCACTCAAGGGTCTCCAAACTATGGCCCTCCAGGTGTTGAGGAACTGCAAGTCCCATGAGGCTTTGCAAGACTCTGACAGCCACAGGCAAGACTCCCAGAGGCAGAGGCATGATGGGACTTGTACTACTTCAACAGTTGGAAGGCCATAGTTTGGAGACTGCTGCGTGACTAGCCCAACATATAAAGTTCTAAATACTAACCACAACACACAAGGCCATCCAAAACATCGCCCCCAGCTACATCACCAACCTCATCTGCAGATGTTGCCAAAATCATCTTCTCTGCTCCTCCCAAGACCTCCTGCTTTCCAGTTCCCTTGTTACCTCCTCCCACGCTCACCACCTGGACTTCTCCAGGGCCTCTCCAATCCTCTGGAACTCCCTGCCCCAGTATCTCTGGGTTAGCTCCTACCCTGTCCACCTTTAGATGATCCTTGGAAACTCGTTTATTCAGGGAAGCCTAACTTCACCTACTATACTTGAGTCACCTCCATCAGATCATGCCCTGCAGCTATTACCTTTTGTACCACCTCCAATTTCCTTTAGATTGAAAGCTCCATGAGCAGGGCCCTCCAATTCCTTCTGAATTGAACTGTATTGTAATTGTATTGTTCCACTTGTATTGTAAAGCGCTGCGTAAACTGTTGGCGCTATATAAATCCTGTATAATAGTAATAATAATTTAACCTGTACTTCTGTGATTTCTCAAGTTCTTTACTATACCAAGCTGTCCAGTAAAAGTGGCAGTTTAAAGAGATGTGGCAAATCATTTAACACTGACAGTGGCGCTTAAAATAGTCATGCACAAACATTTATTTAAAACCTTTATCCCAAAAGCAAAGAAAAAAAAACTGTTGTGTGCAGGAGACCTAATTTGTTAGTCAAGTCCATCTAGATTTGCTAATGTATCTAACATTACCCTCTTTTCCAGCTGACAAGGCTGCTGTCCAAGGTGACTCTATTGCTCCTCCATAAAGTGGAGTCACCCAAAGACAGGAAGTTTGTTATTGTCTTGATCACAAGGTAAAAATAAAGGAAAACAAAAGATGAACACTAATGCAGACACCACATTTTAGGATTGGCAAGCTGCAGTATATTATTATTATTATTTTAGATATGGCAGGCTGTGTTTTGCTCTCTAACGGCAACGGTGGGTCATTAGAGGTGATATGAAACCTAGTGTGGCAGATATTTTTCTTGAGAATCTGGACATCTGACCTATGGAGAAATTTAAATACATGTTATTACACTATGTGTAGCAGAAGTAAATAGAAAATAAACAATATAGCAAAACAAATAACTACATATGTTATAAAGAATATGGAGTTGAAGAGAAACATTTGGTTACTCACTGGCATCTCTGTGTTAAGATAAATCACCCCCTTCATTTTCTGCCGCAAAATATTGGGAAGCATTTCAGCATGCATGCCAGTGAAGACATAATTAATGCGTATGGGTTTCCTCGCAGTACAGATTTTACATGTCAGCAGTCATTTTTACCTAATTGTAGTAAGCTTGTCAGCACTTCCCTTTCTTAAACAGCATGTTACCCTTTTCTGGAATGTCACACTTCTCCACTCACTTGCTCAATTCACTTTTAGAGATAATGATTGTGATATGCTCACTAACAAGTTGTAAATTCCAGGATAGGAAGCAAAAACACATGTAACGTTTTGCAGCTGAACTGAGGAATATACTATACAATAATGGTACCTGAAGAAATACATTTATTGGTAATGGACCAAGTAAAAGAATGCTCATAGTTACATAGTTAGTCTGGCTGAAAAAAAGACAAAAGTCCATCAAGTTCAACCATTAAAAAAAAAAAAAGTTATAAATCCTATACCCACAGTTATTAATAGTTATTTAATTAGGTAGCCTAAAGGACAAAATTGCAAAGTGGCAGCAACATTTAAAACTCGTTTACACTTGCATTGATTAGTAGCACACATTAAAGCATCTGCCACTTTAACAAGCATTTATGATGCTTTTGTGATGCTTTTTGAAGCTTTAATAAAGCTTGGCAAATGTCTCGTGTGTGTTGGTTATCTATTTTTTTCAACACATGAAATAGAAAGCAAAGCTAACTCTGACTCCTTCCTCTACCTCTGCAGATGTGGTTAGGGAGTGCTGTGATAGAGATCTATAGACGTGCAATTCGTTTTGCTCTGAATCGAAATTCGGATGAAATTTTTGTTATTGAGAGATTCAGATGTATCCATGTTTCCGAATGACGATAGTAATGAATGTAAACAAATCTCTAATGATTAAAAATATTTTATTGGAAATAAGGAATTACCGGACTTTTAATCAAATTCGAAAATTAAACCAAATTAGACACCAAATTAGAAATGTAAACATATTGCTTGCTGACTATTGTTGATTTCCTTCAAAGACTTTGTGCATTAGTGTACTTAAAAGAACTGATGCTGTTTAGAATCCAAAGGGTATTCAAAAACTGATCTGATTAAGATTTTGAATTTTGCATTTTTAAATTGATAAAAATAAAGTAAAATGTATTTATTTGAAAGCATTCCTACTTTGGAGCACTTCACATACTGTATTCTGACTAAACTTTAATAGTACAAAGGAGATTAATGTCTCAGAACTCAATTTTTTCTAATTTCATCTACATTTGTGTCCACATCAAAGTATGTGCCTTATAACCTAGAAACCTTCAATTTTTTTTATGTTACTTTCAATCCTTTTTTTAACCGCTTGCCTACAGGGCACTTATACCCCCTCCTTGCCAAGGGCAATTTCCAGCTCTCAGCACTGTCACACTTTGAATTACAATTGCGTGGTCATGCAACACTGTACCCATATAGAATTTTTATCATTTTTTTGTGACAGATAGAGCTTTATTTTGGTGGTATTTAATCACCTCTGGGTTTTTTATTTTTTCTTAAAAAAAACAAAAACCGCTGAAAATTAAAAAAAAAAATGTTTTTTTCTTAGTTTTTGTTGTAAAATTTTGTAAATAAGTGATTTTTCTCCTTCACTGATGTGTGCTAATGAGGCTGCACTGATGGATACTGATAGGTGGCACTGATGGACACTGATGAGGAGGCACTGGTAGGTGGCACTGATGGGCATTGACAGACATCACCGATGGGCACTGAAAAGCAGCACTCATATATGGTACTGATAGGTGGCACTGACTGGCACTGATAGGCAGCACTGATGGGCACTGATAGGGGGCACTGATGCACACTGATAGGGGGCACTGACTGGCACTGATAGGTGGCACTGACTGGTACTGATGGGTGACACTGAAGGGCAGCTCTGATGGGCACTGATATGTGGCATTGATGTGCACTGGTAGGCACTGATATTTTGCATTGAGGTGGCACTGATGGGCACAGGCACATGACACTGTTCAGCACTGACTGCTGGCACTGATGAGCACTGACAGGTGGCACTTCTGGGGCCACACTGATCATCAGGGCACACTGATCATCAGTGCCCTGATGATCAGTGTACATATCCCCTCTGCGGAAAGCCGATTACATGCTCTCCTCTCCTCTCGAGCTGTCAGCGTGACAGCTCGAGAGGAGAGAAATGCCGATAACCGACATTTCCCTGTTTACATGTGATCAGCTGTGATTGGACACAGCTGATCACATGACCAAGCCAACATCTTCGGCTCTTTCCGTAGATCAGTGATCCGCTGTGTCCGAGGGCATGCGCGGTGAGAATGGGAGGACGTCATATGACGTCCTCCCAGAACGAGAGAACCACCTTGCACCCATAATTGGACTATATGGCGGCAGGAGGTGGTTAAAGGTTTAAGCTGGCCATAGAAGGTGTGACTTTCTTTTCTGTGAGCACGGGTTGCAGAAAAGAAACATTCTTGACTCCCCCCATCCGAAGTACCAGATTATTTGAATTTAAATCAAATTTGAATCAAATTCAAAACGAATTTAAAAATGAAACCAAATTCGAAAAAAAACAAATTTCAAATGTAAATATAATGCTGATTCCTTCAGACTCTGTGAATATAGCTGTCTTCATAAATTCAAATTTCGAATGGAATAGAATAAAATAGAATAGAAAATAAAAGAATAGCATAGAATGGAATAAAATAGACAAAATGTCTTCTAAAACTCAAATTTCAAACACAATAGAATAAAATAAACAGAATATAGGTGTCTTTTGAAATTGTAATTTTGAAAAGAATAGAATAGAATAAAACAAAATAGAATAGAGTAAAAATAAAAGAACAGAATAGGAAAGACTATTATAGCATAGAAAAATAGAATAGATTAGAATTGAATAGAATAAAATAGAAAGAATATAGCATTTTCCAAAATTCAAATTTTGAATAGAATAGAATAAAATAAAACAGGATAGAATTGAATAGAAATTATAAGAATAGAATAGAAAATAAAGGAAAAGAATAGAAAAGATTGTAATAGAATAGAAAAGAATAGACTAGAAAAGAATAGCATTTAGAAAAATAAAATAGATTAGAATAGGATAGAAAGAATATAGCTGACTTTCGAAATTCAAATTAAGAACAGAATATAATAAAATAGAAGGAATATAGCCATCTTTTGAAATTTGAATTTTGAATAGATTTGAATAAAATAGAATGAAGCCTTCTTCCAAAATTTGAATTTTGAAAAGATTAGAACAGAGTAAAACATAATAGAATAGAATAGAATAGAATACAAAGAATAGAATGGAAAGTAATAGAATAGAACACAATAGAAAGAATGTAGCTGTCTTCTAAAGTTCAAATTTCAAATAAAATAGAAAAGCATAAAATAGAAAGAAAATAGTTGTCTTCCAAAATTCAAATTTGGAAAGAGGGAATAGAATACAATAAAATAGAAAATAATAGAATAAAAAAAAGAATAGAAAATAAAACAATTGAATAGAAAATAATAAAATAGAATTGAAAAAAAGAATAGATCAGAATAGAAAAGAATACAATAGAATAGATATAGAATATAGCCATCTTCCAAAATTTTAATTCGACTAGGATAAAATAAACTAGAAAGAATAGTCATCTTTCATTTTGAAAAGAATAGAATACAATAAAACAGGATAGAATAGAACAGAAACTAAAAGAATAGAAAAGAATAAAAAATAAAGGAATATATTAGAAAAGAATAGAATAGATTAGAATAGAATAGATTAGAATAGAAAAAATATAGCTGGCTTCCGAAATTTGAATTTAGAATAGAATAGAATAAAATAGAAGGAATATAGCTGTATTTTGAATTCAAATTTAAAAAAGAATAGAAAGGAATAAAATAGTATATAGCCATCTTCTGAAATTCCAATTTTGAAAAGAATAGAATAAAACAGAATAGAATGCAATAGAAAAAATAGATAAAAAATAGAAAAGAATAGAATAGAATAAATATAGCTGTCTTCCAAAAATTCAAATTTCAAATAGAATAGAACCATCTATTCTTCAGAGTGAATTTGGATCGATTCAATATTTTTTATTCAAATTCAATTCAAATACTACTGATGCATTGGAAAAATTCAAACCCGGTAGAAAATGAATAAATAAAACTAAATGAAAACAAATTCCCTTGCGAATGTAATGAAACAAAATTAGTAATGAAGCAAATTGATTGGAAACTGTTTTCATTCTGCACATGTCTAAATATCTATGGAGGCTTTGGAGATGTGGTGAAGCACCAAGAAAGTGACATGGGGTGTAATTGTTAACTCCTTCCTGCCCAGCCTATTGTAATATGACAGCTGAGCGGGAACCCTATTATCCTGGGAGGATGTCCTTCCAGGATCACGTCTCACACATGCCCCATGGGCAGCACTCTGGCATGATCTGTCACCGACTTTGTCCACAGGACACGGCCGATGACAGATCAATACACTGGTCCACTGCTAGTGTCATGTGATTGCTGTGACCAATCACAGCACATCACATGACAGTTGTAAACAACGACTGGCTTCCTTTCATGCCAGTCATTGCTTACAACTGTGCTGCGAGCTGGGATTGGTCACAGTGATCACATGTACAGACTGGGCCAATCACAGTTCATCTGTAGCATGTGATCAGCTATGGCTGATCACATGTCATAGCTGATCATACATTTAAAAAAAGTGTAATAAAAATAAAAAAAAATATATAAAAAATGTAAAACAATTTGAAAATATACATTGATTGCTCATCTAAAAACTTTTAAAATATTTTTCAAGGAAGTGTTGGTTGACGATATTAATCACATGTGTTAATGTATCTGTATATCCAGTCATAAGATGTACCTAAAGTGGTTGTAAACTCTTATCTATACCCACTGAAGTGACTAGCCTCAGGTAATACACAGAAACAAATCTTCCTATGAAAGTTGTACCTGTTTATCTGCAAATTTCTTCTTTACAGCTTTCTAAAACACATAGATCAAAGGTTATTTAACCACTTGCCGACCGCGCATAGCCGAATGACGGCTTCACCGCGGCCGGCCAGTTTTGAACGTCATATGACGTCCTCCCAGAACGCGCTCTCCTGCGCGCCCCAGGGGGCGCGCACCCGGCGATCTCCGTGATCGCTTGTCCTACGGACAACAGCTGATCACGAGATGTGGTGAAAGGCCGATCTCACCGGCCTTTTACCACGTGATCAAGTCAATGACACGCTGATCACAGGAAAACAAGTGCCGGTTCTCGGCTGCACTTTCCTCACGCTGTCAGATCGTGAGGAAACACTGCCGAGAACCGGCAGTTGTCAGAGCGGGGATCGGCAATCATCAGGGCACTGATGATCAGTGCCCTGATGATCGGTGCCCAGCAGTGACCCCCGCAAGTTCCGATCAGCTGTGCGCCCACATAGCCCCGCCCACCCCATTCCCAGCAGTGCCCCCACCTGTGCCCAGCAGTGCCCCCACTGTGCCACTCTGCAGTGCCACCTACCTGTGCCCAGCCAGTGCCACCTACATGTGCCCAGCAGTGCCACCCACCTGTGCCCACCCACCTGTGCCCACCAGCGCCACCCACCTGTGCCCACCAGTGCCACCCACCTGTGCCCACCCACAACCCACCAGTGCTACCCACCAGTGCTGCCAGTCAGTGCAAACAGTCAGTGCCCAGGGGTTGTGGCCAATGTCAGTGCCGCCAGTCAGTCCCAGAAGTGATGCCAGTCAGTGCCGTCTATCAGTACCCATCATCAGTGTCACATATCAGTGCCGCCTATCATGCTGCATATCAGTGCCGCCTATCCGTGACCCCTAATTAGTGCTGTCTATCAGTGCCGCCTATCCGTGCCACCCTCATTAGTACTGCCTATCAGTGCCCTTTAGTGCTGCCTATCAGTGCCCATCAGTGCCGCCTATCAGTGCCCATCAGTGCCGCCTCATCAACGCAAATCAGTGAAGGAGAAAAAATACCTGTTTGAAAAAATTTTATAAAAGAAACAAATAAACTTTTTTTTTTTTTTTTAAATTTTTTGACTTTTTTTAATTTATAGCGCAAAAAAAATAAAGCGCCCAGTGGCGATTAAATACCACCAAAAGAAAGGCTCTATTTGTGAAGATCAAAATTTCATATGGGTACAATGTTGCATGACCGTCGCAATTGTCAATCAAAGTGCGGCAGCGCTGAAAGCTGAAAATTGGCCTGGTAAGGAAGGGGGTATAAAGTGCCTGGTAGGCAAGTGGTTAATCAGCCCCAGAAGGCAGGAGGCAGGAATCTGTTGTCAATAACTGCACATCATAGTGAGAAGAACTCAGTGTAATATGAACTTGAGTAGAGAGAACACCCCCCCCCCCCCCTTTACACTCTCTCATAGAGAAACATGGAAGGTGAGGCGTCAATCTCCTGGGCGCTGATTTCCATATGCAAACATCCAACAAGCAGATGAAGACTGATCCCACAACTGCTCTGATAACCATAAGCAGTAGTACGTAGTAAGAAAAAAAACAAAAATACAGAGCGCTATTGGTGTGCAATCACTGTTAGAGTAATGACAAATCCAACCGACAGTCAATGTGATAAGGATATAGTAAGCCAAAACCATGCTATAGTGGGTAATGAGAGCCGCTTACTGCAGTTGGTGTCCTGGCCATGAGAGGTCCCCATGTGGTGAGCCCAATATGGAGAAGACAGTGTGCCAAGGAATTAATTCCTGATGTGATACAGGTGGTGTGTCTTTGGAAAGGGAAATCCTCACTGTGTCCCCGAAGACCGCCAATGGAAGTGACATCACAGTGCACCGGAAGTGACCTCAATGGAATGCAGGAAAGCTAGCAGTGACCGTCATACCTCAGAGCAATAGAGTAGCTGGCATGGAGCTGGTGTGGGAAATCCTGGTTACCATGACAACACGTTTCACACAGATTAGTGCCTTATCAAAGTCAATTGGTAACCAGAGGACTTGGGGTTTTAAATACTCAACCTGGAAGTGGGGCAGAGCAAAGGTAAGGCTGAGGCCGGAATATTAACCGCCTCCCGCCCGCCATAAAGTACAATGATGGGCGCAAGGCGGTTCTCTCGTTCTGGGAGGACGTCCGGGAGCGTGCAGCGCGGTGATCGGCGGTGTGCTGTGTCCCTGCGACACAGCGGATCACCGATCAACGGAAAGAGCCAAAGATGTCAGCTCGGTCATGTGATCAGCTGTGTCCCCCCAATCACAGCTGATCACATGTAAACAGGGAAATGCCGGTTATCAGCATTTCTCTCCCTCACGAGCTGTCACGCTGACAGCTCGAGAGGAGAGGAGAGCCGGTAATCGGCATCCCTCGGAGGGGACATGTACACTGATCATCAGGGCAGTGATGATCAGTGTGCACTGATGATCTGTGTAGCCCCAGCAGTGCCACCTGTCAGTGTCCATCAGTGCCTTGTGTCAGTACTCATCCATGCCACCTGCCAGTGCCCATCTCAGTGCCTCATCAATGCCACATATCAGTGCCTACCAGTGTGCATCAATGCCACATATCAGTGCCCATCTGAGCTGCCGTTCAGTGCCGCTTATCAGTGCCAGTCAGTGCCACCTATCAGTGCTGCCAATCGGTGCCACCTATCAGTGCCAGTCAGTGCCACCTATCAGTGTGCATCAGTGCCGCCTATCAGTGCCTGTCAGTGCTGCCTATCAGTGCCGCCTAACAGTGCCAGTCAGTGCCACATAACAGTGCCAATCAGTGCCGCCTATCAGTGCAAGCCAGTGCCGCCTATCAGTGCCATATATGAGTGCTGCCTTTCAGTGCCCATCAGTGATGCCTGTCAATGCCCATCAGTGCCACCTACTAGTGCCTCCTCATCAGTGCAGCCTATCAGTGCTCATCAGTGCAGCGTCATTAGCACACACCAGTGAAGGAGAAAAATCACTTATTTACAAAATTTTATAACAAAAACTAAGAAAAAACATTTTTTTCAAACTTTTCAGTGGTTTTTGTTTTGTTTAAGAAAAAATAAAAAAATGATAAAAATTTCATATGGGTACAGTGTTGCATGACCGTGCAATTGTCATTCAAAGTGCAACAGTGCTGAATGCTGGAAATTGGCCTGGGCAGGAAGGAGGTATAAGTGCCTTGTAGGCTAGTGGTTAAAGACAAATACACCTACTAAATTGTTCTATGATAAAGGGTCTCATAATACACCCTAAAAACAATAAAATACATATAAATTACATAACTACATAGAAAACGATATAATAAATATAACTTAAGGAAAAGGATTGCAACTGCAAGAATAGATTGGAATAAATCACAGCAGACTATTTATCTTTGGTAATATTACGCAACCAGAAAATCTATGCATTTCAAGACTAATTACAGACAGAAAAAACACTATAACCTCGTATAAATTATTCTACAGTACTGTATGGTACTCAAAGTATCATTTCATCTCAAATGATGATCAGTATATATAAGTGAGCCAATCATCATTATACTAATTGGTTACATACAGTATGACTCCCAAAACATATCAAACCCTCATATAACAACATACTACTAGGTGAATCACCGATTACATTACAAAATGCGACACACATCATAGGTCAGCCAAAAAAATAGTTATATTGTAAATGGTTAGATTAATTATATTATGCACATTGATCACAAATTCATTACCCTTACTGTCCAAAAAGCTAGATCGTCCGTGATGGATAAATTGACAGGTTAGGCATCCCCTCTTGCAACATTGGAAAATGCTTGTTCTATTGTCAAAGACAGAACATATATCTGAAGAAATACTAATTTTCTTCTTAGATATTAACTTACTTGGGTCTAGGATGGTTTTTAGTGTACGGGCATGCTTAAAGGTGACAGTGGGGTGTGCAGGTAATAATGGACCGAGTTCTGGGTCAATTTTAGAACATTCCAATGTTTGCGAATGATAGCTGAAATGGCCTTGTATTTAGTTGCATCTCAACCGGTGAAATTGGACGCTAGAGATGTTGTCTCACCAAGCTAGATGGACACAACTACTATAATGCAGGTAAGAATTGTCTGCTGTGGGTTTACAATAATTACTCATTACAATATTAGTGCCATAATATTTGAGTTTTAGATCTAGGAACACTAATTTGTCTGAATCAAAGACTGAAATGAAGGTAAAACCTAAAGAATTATTATTGCAGTGGGAGACAAAGGAGGAGAAGTTGTCTGGGGAGGCGCACCAAATTATAATGATGTAATCGATATACCTCCTGTAAAACGTTAGGTATTGGGCAAAGGATTATTACTCCAGTTGTCCCCCATGGCTGTGCCATGGGTTTGTAGGTAAAATTCATCAGCAAACAGAAAATAATTATGTTCCAAACAGAACCTTGTACTGTCTACCAAGAACTGGGCTTGATTGGAACTCCTAAATGGGTCTTGGACAAGAAAGAACATAATGCTGTTAGTCCCACTTGATGAGGTATTGAGGTATATAGTGATACAACATCTAGTGAGACCCAGAAATAATGCTTATCCCATGAATAGGATTTTAGCAAGTCTATGATATTTATTTATTTCTTTCAGGTACTTATATAGCGTCGTCAATTTACGCAGCGCTTTTACACATATATGATATGACCTGAATCTCGGATATAGGAAGGTAAACGTGATACAATGGGCTGAAGAAAGAAATCAATATATTGCAAAAGTCTACGGAGGAAGCTATTTGTATTGGATACAATAAAGGGATTAACTAGAGATTTATGAACTTTTGGGAGATGATAAAAGTATGGTGTGCTGGATTCGGGGGCAATAAAAAATGTTTCTCCCTTTCAACAAGCACTCCATCAGCAAAAGCCTTATTCACAAGATGTTTTAGGGCCTGTTGGTAAAGAGGTAATGGATCACCAGATAATTTTCAATAGGTCCTTTCATCAGCAAGTAGGCGATGTGCCTCAGTCAAATAGTCAGTTTTGTTCTGTATCACTATACTTACCCCTTTTATCAGCTTGTTTTATAATGATAGATTGGTTGCCCTCTAAATCTTTGAGGGCACTGTATTCTGCTATCGAAAGGTTATGGGAATGACACTTTTGGGAAGTGTTGCATAATACCAAAAGATCCTGATAGGCTAGTTGAAAAAAAGCCTCAATATAGGGGCCTTTAGACTGTGTGGGAAATAAAGTTGTCTTAGGTCTAAGACCAAAATGTATAATGACAGGACTTAAAAAAGATTCTACAGGTTGAGTATCCGTGTAATCCTCAATCCATAATTCACTCAGTATATGCTCTAGGGCATCGTCCATACATGAATACTGATCATCTATATTAAGAATAGAAGACTTAATTTCATGAGTGGCATAATGTCGTTTAATAGTTAAGGATCTAATGAATCTGTA